GGCAGATTTCCACTAAAGTAAATTGCAAATAAAATAACACCTCCTTTGGAGGTACTAGCCACTTACCAAGTGAATTCAGTTGATAATTGCTATTTATATAGCATGATTACCATTTATACAACAATACTATCGCTGTCTCCAAGGGATGGTAAGCAGCAACTGCAGTTTTTATGTTAAATTCTCATTAAGCAGGATAGTTGTCTAGAGGACAGAACTGGCTCTGTCCAGCTATGCTTTTTTATTGCTAGTGTCAAAATTCTGTGGCACTGGAGCACAACTAGACTTATTTTACACAGCACATAAGCTAAACTGAACTGTGATATCTAAAACTGTTACATGTACAGATGCATGAAAGTTTTGGAGTTAAAACTGAAACCAATCAGAAATCCACACTTGAAAAGCAAGTTCCCTGAGGTTCAAAGCAATCTCTTCACTAGGACTGCAAACTTCACCCACTCCTGTGGCTTATGGAGTTTTTTCATGAGAAGGCATCTTTTTAAATATATATACTTTACTATCCCAGAGATTCTTGGGTCTTTACCTAGCTCTGTGGCAGGGACACTATGTCTCAAGCTTTGGCTGCCCACCGTCGTTTCCTTGCCTCGAGTTTCCATGTATAATAGCTGCGTTTAATACATTCTTTTTGGGGCAGGTGTCAGGCTTCCACTCATGAAGCACTCTGGATGTTGCACAAGAGGTAAATAAGAGCGGTGTTGATAATGAAAATATGCCATTAATACATTTCCAACAAAAAACTACAAGCGATGTTTAATCTGCAATCTCTTATAAATAATTTTATTACTGCAGTTACTGCAGTCTAATAAAAAAGCACTTTCTCTTTTTTATTGGGTAAGTGCCAAGACGTTTATCGTTTATTTTGTAGCCATTAGCTTAGCCATTTGTGTAACAATCTGTTGAGTAACATTCAAGTAGGAATTTGTATTCAATCCATTATTTACTCTGAAACCCAAAAGGAATAGCTTCTTATGCCTATGTTATTTATCCATATTAAATCTTAAGTGCTGTATACTGCTGATGATAAGTCTTATAGCAAGTAGATTTTTCTTACTGTGAGTGATTTTCTGGCATATAAATAAAACGGCAGTTCATCTAGTAATATTTTAAAAACAAAGCTTGAAATTGCTAGCTGAAAAACAGATATTTCTCACAACGTGTGAAATTCGTAATAACTGCATTTCAGAAGTTTATCCTTTCTGGATCAGTTCCTCCATCACACCTTTACATGAACTCCATCGTGCTGAAAGAAGCCGTGGTACTCTCCACCCCTCCATCAAGCGTTGAGGTTTGGGGTCATGAGGTCTGACATCCCTCCATCCTTTCTTTCTTTCTTACTGCAGGGGAAAATAACAAAAAACAAAGATAAATAAGTTAAAGAACCAAATGCCTGCTTTTCTTTGAGGCATTTGCTTGCTAGCTTTCAGTCATTTCTGGCTATTCATCTGAAACTGCTACTTCTCTGTGTAAGTAAATGAACTCACTCACCTTAGCGAACAGAAAGCAAAGCAGGAGAATGAAAGTGTTGATTCCTGTCCATCAGCTGAACATGGCAGAAAGTGTGAGTTTCTTATTAGGCTGTGGTATCTCAGCCTCACTGAACCCTATTTTCCTGTTTCCAGACAAAAGCATTAGTCTTCTGGCTGGAGAGTGACATTCAGTAAAAGCCTTTCAAGGTCTTCCCATAAACTCTTGCAATGAAGAGGTAGTCATAGCAGTATTTTTAATGATGGGGAAGGTCAGCTTGAGGCTGCGTGAGTCTTTTTGGTCCTGATCAGCCAGCAGTAAATTTTAAGGAATTAGTTTGATGGTTGGATTTTTTTTTCCTCTCTTCTGCTCATTAGGAACTGGAAGCTGCTCTTCACAGGGATGATGTGGAGTTTATCAGTGACCTGATCGCCTGCCTTCTTCAAGGTTGCTATCAGCGCAGAGACATCACGTGAGTAACATTGCTCTATGGCTTAAGCGCTTTGCGAGGGGAGCTAATTAATGTGGTCGCGAGGATGTTTCGTGACTTTAGAATGGTGAAGTGGCAGTGATGGGCAGCCGCCAGCAATCAGGCCAGATGCTTCACTGAGTGGAACAGAATTCCAGCTCTTTTTGGGTTGAGTTGCAGGTTTTTCATTTTACAGACTAGTTGTTAAGCAAATTTCTGTGTTCAGATCCCATGCAAATTTGTTTGGTGCTCTGCTGCAGCACTGGAGCATACAGTGAACATTCATATCTGCTGTTGTGCTCTGCACTCCATTTGGTCAATTTAGTGATATCACAGTAAGTCTTTAAATCATCACGTATATTTTTAACATTTTGTATGTATTGTATAGAATAAAGCTTGCTGTTCTGCAGCCACCTCACTGACGTGGAAGATCCCATTGCTTTACAGAGGGACAATTGTAATTATTTTCTTGGAAAGAAGAGGAGCATTGGAATCGGTTCAGTTGCAGGATGTCGGAAAGTCATTGAACGTGTTCTCCTGATGTTTCAGCGTCTAGAGACACTTTGTTAGTGTCCACCAAAGTAGCCTCCCAACCTGAGACATCTGTAGAACATCATTCTTTGGAGGATCACCACTCAAGCAGTGAAACATGCTCCCAGTGATAACAAAGGCATGTTGCATTGTGTTTTATTTGTTCTTCTATGAATCATCTTAATAGTAAAGTGTAACTGTGGTGATGGAGACAGCTTGGCAACATTTGCAGTTGCTTAGAAGAGGTGTTAAGCAATCCTGCTCCCTAAGATTCCCCTCTTGTGCAGACGCTTAGACTGGTACATTGGCATAACCATAGGGGCTTGCATTGAAAGCTGCATTTCTAAGTAAATGATGATGGTCAATGAAATTTATATAGTTTATTTTTTTATATATATCTGCCACTTTGTTAGGTTCTGTCTCACTTCTAGGTTGATATTCAGTGTAAGTGGGTACTGGGACCCAAACCAGGCAGCTGCACTGGATTTACTGTCTTTGAATGAAACTGATGTGATGAGAAGCCTGGTTGTAAAGGGACTGCAATTGTATATACCTTCTTCATCAAAATAGCCACAGAGCAATATAATCTTGCTTAGAAACATGCAGCAAGTTCATTTCTTCATACCAGAAACACCGGAAAGTAATGGCTTAAGTGTTTTGCCCATCTTAACCAACTCACTGTTGTAGAAGCAGTGGAAGATTTGTCTTTGCTAAATTTCATTAATTCAACATTGTGAGGTTCTCCTAAACTCTTCAGATCTAAGAGTGTCTGCTTAGCAATTGCACTATTTAATTGCCTCCCCTTTCTCAGCTGTTTTAACTAACAAAATTCAGGAATGGATCTTGGATGAGTCGTTGGGCATTGGCAAGTTGTCTGTCTGGGGAAGTTACACATGTACACATGCATATACACTCATGCACAGTTACGTGACGCACCTGGCAGCTCAACAACGTGTAGTTATTCAGTATTGCATGTTGGTCCCACTTTGTGCCTGTGCAAATACACCTTTAGTTAACTCTGGGATGCAATATCTTCAAGGAGGTAGTGTCATCGCAGAAGGAAGAGCTGGTAACCCAGCCGTGGCTTTGTGCAGCCTAGTCAGGGTGCATGTGCGGCATAGGCAGGTACCTGCGTAGTGGTGCATCTGTCCGTGTATGAGAGGTGCCTTAGGAAACGGAGGAGCGCGAAGTCACATAGTGAGGTTGTGAGAACTTACACCTTGCCTGAACGGTTGTGCTAGGGAAAGTGTGAGGTGCCTGAAGGAGAAACCAGCTGCACTTCTCTACAGCACTTCCTGTAGAAGGGGTACCTTGGGTGTACCTTGTAGGTAGGGGAATAACTAGAAAAGTAATTTCTGCAGAGGAGATGGGGAAAAGAGCACAACAGGATCAGCACTGTGGAAACGGCTGAAGGTGGGAGCCACTGAGAAGTTAGGGAGGTGGGCTCTGAAGCACTGCAGAGGAAGCAATGGAGGAGGCTACCTGGAAAGAGGGACAGGTGCTGTATGCTGAGGGATGTCATGAAGGAAGAAGCATTAAGATATAGTCTAAATATGGAAACTTATAGATAAAGGAGAGTAAAAATTATGGCTTGGATACACTTCCCATCTTGCCCCACTGTTTGTTTCACCCATACAAATCAGCCATGGAATATTTATCCAAAATGAATGTGTGTATTTACAGCCTAATTTCTTCTTGTTCCTTACACATTTATCTCCACAAACTTTGTTCCCTCTAGCCCAAATTCAAGAGGCATAGGCCTTGGCTGATGCACAGCTTCCCTACTGTACCTAGTTTGTCCGCAGTGAATGGTAAGGAGTTGAGCCTCTAATTGGTTTTTAGAGTGCTCAGTGCACAAAGACATGTAAACGTAACAGGCAGAATTTGTGTGGAGTCTGGATTTGGCTTTTCACAATGGGCCAGGACTCCATATTTTTCTGTTGCAGACAGACAGTAGGTTATCTGTCTCGCCTGTGAAAAGTCAGCAACTTCACACACCATCACAGTGGTGTTACGGCAGCGGTTTCTCCAGCCTTTTGTGCTCCCCATCCTCGTGCCGAGGCTGTGAGCGGTTAATCTTTATGCTGTAAACTTTGCTCCCTGTTGCACCTTAGAGAGGGAGGTAGGAGCTTGTCATCTTTGTTCTTGGGCTGGTGCACAGTGGCTCAAGCACAAGATGCTTCATATAACCTCATGTAAAACATAGTTTACCTGCCTCTCCAAGGGGTTTTGAGGTTTAACTATCGCGACTTACCTGTTTGATGACCAAAATGTTATCTGCCTATGTTTTCTCACAGTCTCTCTGGGAGCAGCTTGTAGTTCTTGTCACATCTGTTTTGACGGCATGCAGAACTTGCGGTGGAGCTGGGCTGCCTGGCTTTAATCATGCATCGTAGAGGGGTATAAAACTGTCACATACCTTTCCTAATTATAATGTGCTCTTAAGTAATTCTTGAAGTGCAACCTAGCTGAGAGCCCTTCTAATGCACAATTTAACATACTCTAGTTTGATTTGCTTTTTATTCTTTGGAAAAAAAGAGATTAATACTTTTGTAAGCTTCTGTGACTCTTGGTTTTGAAGTAGAGCAACTTTACTTTGGTTTTGATATCCTTTGTGACAGATTTTTTTTTAAAAAAAAAGAATCACATACGAGACAGAGACATTTTTTGCCCTGCTTGATGGTTAAGGAGTGTTGAATGTCTGTTAACTTAAGACTTTCTTTGAGTTATGGATATCTGTGTTTAACTACAGACAATAGTTAGTGGGATGACACATGATCTTCTCCAAATTCTTATTTATCAGAACCTGTCATAGCTGTTAGGAACAGTCTTCATTGACCTGGTTCTTGCCATGTTAATCACTGTAGAAGTACAGAACCAAAGAGACAGTAGTCTGCATTTCTGGCTTCTAGCATCTTTTGCGTTGACTCTGTAGCTGTCCTTGCCTGGCCCAGGTGGTTTGAGCTCTCGACCAGAACAGTTTCCCTGTTGCTCTCCTCTTTTTGCTCTGACCCAAAATAGTTTTGTGCCATGATCTGCAGCTTTTCTGGTTTTATAAATGCTCTCCATAGTATTCGTATACCGTCTATACCATCTAACTACTAACGATGCAGTAACTAATATCCTTGAACCTTTATGTTAGATCTCTTGGCTCAGTTTTATGTTGTAGACATGGTTTGGTTTGATGCCAGTGTGTTACCCATACATTTTTCCTGCCTCTAGCTTTTCTGCACAGGCCTTGAAGAGTCTATGTTTTCTCTAATTGTTTCAAAATGCAACTGTCTGGGAAGTGGGAAGTGACAAGGGAGAAAACTCTTAACAGAAGTTGGAGTTTATAAAACGTAAATAAATAAAAATTGAGCAGTTTGAAAAAATACTAGTGCTTGCCTCAGATTCTCTCTGATATAGATTGGGCAGCTGCATAGTCCCTAGGGGCTGCCACTTTAATTCCAGCAGGAAATGGGACTTGATGACTTGTATCAAGGCAGGAAGATCAGAGCTTCAGCTAACAGCAGCAGCCGCAGCAGGAGCATTCTGCAGCTGTTTTTAAGTAAGAAGTGATGGTGTGACATGGATGTGTATGCTCAACTAAAATAATCCAGAAAAGCTCTCACTGTTCAGCATTTCTTTGGGTGAAACTCATTCTTCACTGCTCTGTTACTGCATTTTTGCTGTTTTTCTAACGTGATGGCATAAAAAGTTTCAATGACTTTATCATATTTCTCATTGGAGGAGACATTTTGTGTGCTGCTGTTGTCTCTGGAAAAACATTTTAATTGCTTTTTGTTATAACATGTTTTATTTTTTATTCTTCCAACATGGATAAAGGTGCCAGAAAGTGAGGAGGAACAAAAACAATGTCTATGCTCTTGCCTGTGCTCCATGAGATTTTAATTTTTTTCATATACCTCAGGACGTTGGTCCATCACCGTAGCTGAAAACTATCTAATTGACTTCTGTGGCACCACAGGCAGAATTTACTTCCTTAGGAACATCAGTTATCTTTTTTCTTGTTGTTTCTTCCCTTAATGCATTGCAGTTTCTTTTTTCCCAAGTGGATCATCTGTTTTGCGCCCACCTTAAGTTCTTTCTGGATCTGTAACTAACCTTGGAGTCTTTGGCTTGTAGCTTGTACCTGGTTTGTTCTAATATGGATAGTGAGAGGATATTCCTTAACCCTCTTCCCTCCCCTGCAATTGTCTTAGTTATTTATTTCATATCCTTAGTGGTGACATTGAGAAATACTACCAGTATGTAATTTGAAGAGCTATATTCCCTACTTGTTGAATTGCCAATCAAGAATGCTGCCTCTATTCTGCTTATTTTCTCATGCTTGTTCTATAATGACTTGAGCTTTCATCAGAAAGAGAGAAGGGATAACCTGAAATTTTCTAACCCATCGGGGCAGAATGCCCATTTCTGAGGACTGCGTTTAATAGCTCTGAGTATTTTGCTTCTTCCTTCTGCTTTGT